CGAACAGATTTAATCTTCTCTCCCAGTTGATTTTCAACTTCAGCTTTATAAGATTTAAACACGTCCAAAGACTCAGATTTTTCATGAATGAGATATAAGTAACCATAAAGAGAATAGTCATCAATGAATGATATAAAATATCTTTGGCCATTTCTAGCTGCTTGGCCATTTCTAGCTGCAATATGGAATGGACCGCAAATATCTGTATGAATCAGTTCTAAAACATTGGATGACCGAATGGCACCTAGTCTCTTCTGTTTAGTCTGTTTTCCTTTAATACACTCAATACAAGAATCCAAACCTGTGTAATCAAGTGTATCTAAGATACCATCAGAAACAAGACGCTCAATCCTTGATTTGGATACATGACCCAAACGTCTATGCCAAAGTACAACTGAGTTATCAATATTCAATTTTCTTTTGGTACCTCTTGTAGTAACACTTTCTTTTGGTACCTCTTGTAGTAACATGTAGGGATTCATGATAACTAGTATCAATGTCTAACATATATAGATTATCACATTCATTCAAGCAACCAGTACTCAAAACTTTTGAATTCATAGATAAAGTGAATACTTTTCTCTCACTCAAGTAAGTCCACTTATAATCCCATTCTACCCCAACCGGGTTTGGTTCAACTCGACTCGACTCGACTCGACTCTAAGACTCGACTCGGTAGGATGTCACAGTATCGTTTATAATTTATTTAAACATAATCTAAAATGTCCAATTGCCTCTACTTCAACCGGATCGCCATTTCCTACATAGACGTATCTTTCACCGTCAGTTGGCTTTCTGTAGTTGAGGCAGCCCTACAACGAAACACCTATATGAGCGGTAGCACCAGAATCCATCCAATAAGTGTTTTTAGGAGCTAAATTAACTTTCACAACAGACTAAAAACAAGCGTACTTACCCTCTTTGCAAGCACAAGGTACTTACCCCTCTTTGCAAGCCAATTAGCAAATTTAGGACAGTCCTTTCTCAAGTGATCCGTCTTTCCACAAAAGAAGCATTTTGGCACATAAGGCTTCTTTTGTACTGGATCTACAGCAGTAGCAACAGCAGGTTTCTCAATAGCCTTTTCAACAGTCTTTGCAGAAGGCCTCTTTCTTTTCTTGTTCTTGCCCTTCTCAGCTGAAGAAACAAAATGAGCACTCTCTCTTTTGTTAGAATTCATCTTTCCTCCTCATCAACACAATGAGAAATGAGCTCGTTAAGAGTCCATTTATTCGGCTGACAATTATAGGAAGTTAGGAAGTCCTAATTTGTCCATACTGAGAAGGAAGAGAATTCATAACCAAATGGACTAAAAGGTCATCTGGTAAAGCCATCCCCAGCGACTTCAGTCTCTTTGCAATCTGAGACATGCTAAGAATATGCTCCCGAACACCACCATTGCCAGCAAACTTCATAAAGGTTAATTTTCCTAAAAGTGTTCCCACTTCGGCTTTCGGCTTTGTCATTCTTGACATAAGCCCTCTCCAGCTCGGCAAGATAGTTTTGAGCATTGTTCTTTTCAGCTGAGACAGAGTCTCGAACATGTTCTGGTACTCCTTTCTGCATGATCATCAGACCTAAGCGATTAGAACGCTCCCGCTTCTCATACTGAACCCTTTGAACATCAGTGCTCGTAGCAGTAAGAGGAGCAGGTTCGTCCAAAGAGGAGCAGGTTCGTCCATCCTGAATGCAAGATCCAAATCCATACAGCCCAGAAAGATCATAATGTCTGATTTCCAAGACTCAAAATTTGATCCCTTAAGTTTAGGGACACAATCAGGATTAAATGACATGTTAGCTGACATCAGAGAAAATAAACAAATAGATAAGTATAAGCTCACAATTCACAAATGAAACAATTCACATAAGTAGAGATAAAAATGGAAATAAGATACAGACTCAACATTAATATTCTCATCTTTGGATGTAAAATATTCACTTGTAATTAGTATCTCAACGCAGCAATCAAATATTGATAACATAGTCCTGACAAATAATAAATCTTCCTTTGGACCGATATATCATTGTCATGGAAAATAATCAAACAATTATCACATACTTATTGTTATTGGCCAAAACATGTATTTCCAAAACTCAGCCCAGATAGCAACCTTCCTTTGGGCGATTAACTATCCGCAAAACGCAATTCTAATACACCTGTCTAATATTCTAAAATAAATCAATTCAGAGCAATAGAGGTCACTTTGGTGGCCTTATTGATGGTGACTTATTGATCAAATCAATTTATTTTAACAAATATTAAACACAATAGGGACTTAATCACTCCAAAATTTAATCTCAAGTCGACAAATTAATTCAATTGTAATTAAAACAAAACAATTGCAATTAAATGAATTGAATGTCTAAATATTTAATAATCTAAAATTATTTAGCCCAAATATATATATATATATAAGTCACTAAATTAGAGACTAAGTTATAAAATTGGACTAAATAAATAAAGTTCGGGGTCTAAAATTTGAATAAATAAAGTTTGGGGTCTAAACGAAAGAAAACAGAAATTTAAGGGCCTAATACGAAAAAACAGAAGATTAGGGGCCTAATCTGAAGTTACAGGAACTTTAGGGACCTAATCTGAAGTTACAGAAAATTTAGGGACCTAATCTGAAGTTACAGAAAATTAAGGGACCAATATGAAATTATAGAAAATTAAGGGACTGATATGAAATTACATAAAATTAAAGGACTAATATAAAATTTTCCAGGGACCTAACCGTAATTTTTCATCCCTAACCTCGACACAAAAACGAGCAGAGACAAAACAAAGAAAAAAAAGAACCAGGTCCGCCGCCAACCTAAGGGACGGCAAAATAACAGTTTCCAGCCCCTTTACGCCGCCAACAATGGAGGTTTTTTTTTTTTTTTTTTTTTTTTTTTTTAACAAGATACCAGCCAGGCAAAGAAGAAAAAAAAAAAAATACCAAATGAAACAATAAAATCGTTTAATGCGTTAGTTTTCAAAATTCTCTTTACTGTTCTTGAGGAACCGAAGAACAGTGAGAACAAAAATATATATATACATTTTTTTTTTTTATTAAACAAAAAACCCTCAATCTATAAACAGTAGGGTAAACAAATAAATAAAAAAAAATACGAAAAACCAATCTAAAAAATTTATAAATTACATTTAATATATTATTAAAAAATTTATTCTTTCCACAGGTTATTATATTAAACTATCTTGTTATGGAAATTGTAATACTTTTAATTTATATTAAATAAAATTCAATTACTCATATCTAGCTTTAGTTAAAATTTATAATTCAAAATTTTAAACATTTATATTATTATAGATAATTCCATACAGTTTATAGTTCAAAATAATTCAATATAAATAATATATAAATGCTGAGAATGGAAGATCGATTTTGCGGAAAGCAGTACGAAAGGAAACGTAAAACTAGAATCGCTATTCAACTCCTCTGGGAGACCACGGACCTTAATACCCTGTAGGGTTAGTACAAAATTCCTATTTTCGCTATTTCGGTCCTTTAACGAAATAGGAATTATATAATGGTCTCTACACTTAATATCTATAATTAGTTGATACCTCAATAGTCAATTATTTACAATCAAAACCACATTTGAAATTGACTTTACAATTGGACTGCTGTACATATTTTTTTTTACATATTAAGCCCACAATAGAAAATTAAATCCAACAATTTGATCTAATACTTTGTTCTCAATATATTTGAATCGGGCTGCCTCTGAAACCATTTGGATAAAAGAAACTAGAGGTTTAGCAATGTCTGCTGGTAGACAATCAAGACCACATTTGAAATTGACTTTACAATTGGACTGCTGTACATATTTAATTTTACATATTAAGCCCACAATAGAAAATTAAATCCAACAGGCATCTCCTTTGGGTTGGGTGGTGCCGTCTGTGACGTACTTCAAAGACTGACTTGCTGCAGTTCTTGTTCCGGCGAGAGTGGAGGGGGCAACTTTGTTGGCGGTGATCTGTTGGTCTCTTTGGCAGCATCGTAATGACGTGGTGTGGAATAATAAATAGATGACGCCGCAACAAATTTCTGGTCGTGCTAGGAGAATGCTTAATGATTGGATTAATGCTCATGTTTGTGTTAATGGTCGCGCACAAACTACTGTTCGTACTCATTGGACTCGATCACAGTCAGGATGGCGGAAGGTTAATGTGGATGCTGCTGTGATTGGGGATGGAACGATTGGTATGGGAATGGTATTACGTGATTCGGATGGTAGTTTTTTGCATGCGAGAGCTAAGAGGATTGTAGGGGCCTTTCATCCGCAGGTAGCAGAAGCTTTAGCAATAAGGGAGGCTCATAGTTGGATTAAGCACTATGGCTGGTCTCATGTTTTCCTAGAAACAGACGCTCAGGTTGTTTGTTTAGCTATTAATGCTCGTTGTACGTAGTGCAGATGTTAGTGGGTTTGGGGTTATTGTGCATGATTGTAAATCTCTAGTCACAGAGATTACTACTGTGCAGGTAGTTTTTGCACATAGATCTGCTAGTGGGGTGGTTCATAGTTTGGCTAGAGCATCTCATTCTCTGGCGGATTGGATGGAATGATCGGTTTCACCTTCTAATTGTATTGTTGATGTTTTGAGGCTCGATAGTCTTTAAGTTTTATAACATATATTCTCCATAAAAAAATTTGGCTACTTCAATTTTATTTTATTTTTATTTTTAATGTGCACTTGGATTATTTTAATTTTTTATTTTTATTTTTAATGTGCAGTAGGAGTATTTTCCATGCATAAGATGAAGAGAGATTTCCTCGAAGTACTTTTGGTGTTAAAAGTGAATATTTCTACACCTTAATTGAAGTTTAATTGCAATTATAAGAAAACATAATTATTACGGAAAAATAAAATAAAAATAAAAAAAATAGTCAAAGTGTACGCGACAAAGTTAGTTCACAGATTGCGCCAAAATACTTGCTTTGCTAAGCAGAAGCTCGTAAAAAAGGCTCGGCCTTTTATATTTTCTTACTTGTCTCTTTCAGTATCTCACTTTAGATTGAACATTTCAATTCATATTTTCCATAAATTCTCTCTTTTTCGCCGTTTCTCTTCCAAGATTTCATTGCAAACAGAGGTAAAATGGCGATCTCTGTCCAAAATCTGCTCAAAGAAAAGAAATTCCCATTCATTTTCGCTTTCTTTGCTTTGCTCATTTGTGCTACTTTGTTTCTGTATACAAACGACACTCGTTTCTCTTACTTCTCTCTTTCTGACCTCCAAAGACAGTCTAATCCATCTTCTTCCCCGCCAGAGCAACCGCAACCGCAACTCTCCAATCCTTCTCTAGCCCCACCACCACTACCCTCCGCTGATTCTGTCATCATCATTAATACCGGCCAGGGGAAAAGAATTCTTGATAAGAGTAGTGCGGTTTTTGATCACGATGCAGATAAGATTAAGAAGATAAAGTGGGTTCTGTGTAAAGGAACTGTGGCGGTTGATTATATACCGTGTTTGGATAATTCTAAGGCTTTAAAAGAACTTACTTCAAGAAAGCATATGGAGCATAGGGAGAGACATTGTCCCAAACCAAGTCCAAGGTGTTTGCCGCCGCTTCCTGATGGGTATAAGCCGTCCATTCGATGGCCTAAGAGCAGGGACATGGTGAGATTATTGATTCGTTGGTAAGATTTTGGTTTTGGTTTTGTTTCAACTTGATTAGGTCTGGGTTTCATTGCTTTTCTGAGTTTGTTAGATTGTTTAAGCTTAAAACGAGGTTGTAATTTTGGATCGTTGATTGATGAGAATTTCATTTATACTTCTTATGCCTTGCAATGGTGTCAAGTGTGTTGGGCTGCTTTCCATTTTAAATTTTACCCTTTCCATGTAAGGGGTTCAATCTTTCCAAAATTAAATCTAAATAGTTGTTTTTGATTAATTGGTTCTGAACTCTGAAGTATATTGTCTTATGGCCTCAGTTTTTTTTGTTGATGTTGTCTAATATAATGCACATCCATACTAATGTTAAAATGTTGATGGTGTGGTTCTTATTTCTGTTCCAGATTTGGTATAATAATGTCCCTCACCCTAAGCTTGTTGATTACAAGAAGGATCAAAATTGGGTGCAAAAGGAGGGTGATCACTTTGTTTTTCCAGGAGGTGGTACTCAATTCAAGGATGGAGTAACTAATTACATTGATTTCATTGAAAAGGTATAATTCAGAATGCTGGCCCAAAATTGTACTTGTTTTTATAATATATCATTGAGATAGGTCTTGTTCCTATATATGTCTGTGTTAAGCACTTAGCGGATTTTGTTCTTCTTCATAATTCTGCAGACTTTGCCAATCATTCAGTGGGGAAAGCGCACAAGGGTAGTTTTAGATGTTGGTTGTGGAGTTGCTAGCTTCGGTGGCTATTTGCTAGAGAAAGAAGTTATTACCATGTCCTTTGCTCCAAAGGACGAACATGAAGCTCAGATACAATTTGCACTGGAGCGAGGAATTCCTGCTATGCTTTCTGTCATTGGCACACGAAAGCTGCCATACCCTAACAATGCATTTGATCTAATTCATTGTGCACGATGCAGGGTTCACTGGGATGGTGATGGTATTTTATTTTGTAACTTTTAAGCCTGAAAGATCTTGTATTATATTAATGGTAAATTCGTTCTGTCCTTATCAGCCAATCACTGTTTGATACTTTGTGGAATTGCAGGTGGAAAACCACTAATGGAGCTCAATAGGATACTCAGGCCTGGAGGTTTCTTTGTGTGGTCTGCTACGCCTGTATATCGTGAGGATGAGAAAGATCAAAATGTTTGGAAATGTAAACTGACACTCCCTCTGGTTTTATATGTCATGTCTGTTTCGTTGCGTCTCTCCCTCTTCTTCCCAAAACCTTAAAATACATTTACTTGCTTATAATTGAATTGGATAGTCCATGTTCTGTTTTTGTTGTTTATCTATGTTGCTGGAATATCAGCTGCATCAGCAGGGGAGTTGAAAATGAAAGCTTGATTGATTTTGTTTGGAGATTACCTAAGTTAGATGCTTATCTTCTATGTTTTTTGCAGCTATGGTAATTGTGACAAGTGCTATATGCTGGAAGGAAGTGGCAAAGACTACAGATTCGACAGGAATTGGGCTCGTAATATATCAGAAGCCTATCTCAACTTCATGCTATGAGAATCGCCAAGTACATGAGCCACCTTTGTGTGATCAAAACGATATGCAATCTGTCCCATGGTATGCTTTGCAAAAATGGTCTCTTAGAACAATTTATATTTTTTATTTCACTATAATTTTTGGGCTTGTTTTAGCATGCTTATTGTGCGACTATATATGAGTATCAGAGAAAGATGAGGGTGTAGAAGATCTTACAGAATTGGACTTCCTTTCTCTTTTTCTCATTAATTATACAGTCCGCTGTGTATCACTTAAAGTTACTTAATTATTGCTTAATGATCCTTTTTGGTATTTGCAGGAATGAGCCTCTCAGTAAATGCATTTCAAGGCTTCCAGTTGATGAGAGCAATAGCCTCATCGGCTGGCCTGCACGATGGCATGATAGAATTTACAGTGTGCCTCCAAGCCTGTCAACCCAACCAAATGCTATAAAAACATTTCAGAGTGATTCCAAACATTGGTCGACTATCGTATCTGATATTTATCTGAATGCACCTGCGATAAACTGGACAACCGTGCGGAATATAATGGATATGAATGCTGGCTATGGAGGGTAAGATTTATTTAGTCTGATAACGCTGCACTGACTTTGCTCATTTGTTATTCTCAGTTTCAACATTGCTTTTAAATGTGCTCGTAACTATTGAAATAGAAGAACAACCTAGTTACATATTTACGAATAGATTGATTACTGCATTTATATGTGTTTGGCTTTAGTTTCCAGAACTGTATGCTTACTAAGATTATTCATGAATCAACCTCATGTCATAACTTTTCCATTTTAGTAATTTAAGCATTCTAGGAAGCATAATCAATGTTCAGGTGTTAGATGGATGATAAACATTCAAAATGTTAGTGGCAAACTGGCAACTTTTAATTGATAACTTTCATGGTTAAGTATATTTTTATCAATGAGCTGCATTGATATTTTTTTCTTCTTTTACAGATTTGCAGCAGCATTAGTTGATCTTCCTTACTGGGTAATGAACGTCGTCCCCGTGGACATGGAAAATACTCTGCCCATTATTTTTGATAGAGGGTTAATCGGAACTTATCATGACTGGGCTGAATCATTTAGCACCTATCCTCGAACGTACGATCTACTGCATTCAAGCTTCCTCTTCAAGCACATAACACCAAGGTATAATAATAGAACTTAAACTTCAAAAATCTTTCCTCAATTAGACATTAAATTTACGTAAGAATTACAAATATTTCAACCTTTTTCAGATGTGATATGGTAGATGTAGTTGTGGAGGTGGATCGAATCGTGCGACCTGGTGGATATGTTGTGATTCAAGACACCATGGAAATGATTCATAAGCTTACGTCGATATTCAGTGCTCTCCGGTGGTCGACTACTCTGTATAAATCACAATATCTCATTTGCAAGAAAAGTTTTTGGCGTCCCAGCTGATTGCAGAATCAAAGCATTGGCAAAAATGATATTTCCGCTTGCAGTGTTTTTTTTTTTTTTTTTTTTTTTTTTTTTTTTTTTTTTTTTTTTTTTTTTTAAATTAGGTAACTTTTTTTTTTTTTTTTTTTTTTTTTTTTTTTTTTTTTTTTTAAATTAGGTAAACAAAGAGAGAAGGAAAGCAAAAATCTAAAAATCTGTCTATTCTTTCATCTTTCCTTTTATTTATTAGCCGTTGAAGTGTAAAGCTTACTAACATGCATATCAGGCATTTCGTTATAGGAACAACAAAGAAATTGTTTTTATTTCCTCATGATCCTATTCTTTTGACTCCTCTTTGTTTTTTTTTGTCGGGTAATAATACTTTGTCCTAGCTTTAAAGTAACTAATCCTCTAAAGAGTAAAGACAATAAAACCAATAGTACTGTCCTTTAATATAGAAAGAAGGAAAAATAATATTTTGTCTGTCCATTTTTGTCATCATCAAGGTTTTTATAGGGTAAATAATAAAGTAATTAAATCACTTAGATTATAACAAGTTATTTCTTAATTTGATAATTGATCGTTTGTCTCACCTAATTAATCCAATCTCAATAATTCGCTTCCTATTAATTTATCACTGAAAATTAAAAGGAAGGAGATTGTAAAAAGTAATTACTGTTGTTTAATAGAAATAAAAGTGAAATTGCAAAAAAATAATTAATACCCCTCGATCTTCTCAAAATAGCAGATAATTTTGGAGCAGTGGAGTATAACATTAGTAAAAATTATAATATATATATTTTTCTAAAACATTAGTTATTTCCATCAGGAAACTAAAGACAAACCTAATGCATGATAAAAGTGAATCAACCAGAAAGAGTAGAAAGAAATACAGACAAGCTAATGGATCAACATTCTGATCCTCATCAGTTGGCATATACATCTTCCATGTGGATGTGCTTCCATCTACAATTTTCATCCAAAAGATAAAACCTTGTAACCTAAAGAAGCCAGAAAATATGCAATTTCAATGAAGTTTCATATATGAGGGCATCTTTGGCATTAGCAAGTACAAGTTTTAACTATTGATCACCCACTCTCCTGACATCGCTTTCAGGGCCGTGCAGTGCAAGAATAAACCTGTAGCATTTCCAATTAGCTTCTAAACTAATTAACAGGAATAAGCAAAAAACTTGTTCTCAAGTCTCAAGAAGTTAACTCATCTCTTACTAATCATCTCAGCTTCTAACAGAAATAAACTTTAAAACAAGAGGTGTGAAAAATAAAAATAGAATTCCAGAAGAGCGATTGTGTATGTTTTTAAAAAATAGAAATAAAAAGATATGGGGTGCAAATTTGGAGTTTAAAAAATTTTGGGGTCATGGCCCTTCCCCAAGCAAGCACCTGGAGATTAAGAATTTCCAGGGTAAAGAAAGCAATGAAGCAAACACATAGGCACAATACATTATAACATTATATAAACATACTTATCATTACTGAAACAAATGCGTAACAATTTAGTAGCTGTAAAATGACTACAAAAGGTGAAAGAAGCACTTGCAGTGTTTTAATGCACTCCATATACTTCTGCATATTACAATTCTGAGTTTACATCAATGCATAACGACTAGAGGACTCTATGTTAGATGTTTAATGGAAACGCAACCAAGAAAGCCAAATTTAAAGCAAGAAACCTTGCAATGGATTAGAGAATCTGAAATTACACCGCATTGAATGTGGAATAAAACATATAAAGAAGACACATTATTTGCAGATTTCAAAAGAACAGCCTACAAAGAAATCAACACAATCAAATAAATATTACACAATAGATGGACAAACATAAGTGGAATTGTCTCTTACGAGGCTGCCATCAATAGCAGCAACAGAACGAACATAACAGCCAGAATCATCTCTCCAAGTTAAAGTTTGGTTAGTGACTGCTTCACCTGCAACAACATCATGATCTTTAACCTCCATCCAACCATTAGCAACCTGTTTGTTATTAACAGAGCTTGAAAACATTCCCTTTGAGTACTGGTGAAAGAAAGCATGAGAAACATTTGTAATAAGCTTATAAGTATCTTTCTTTTTTCCAGGCAGATTTAAAGTGACAACTTTGAGTGGATACTTTCTTTTAACAGTCGCACGACTGAGCAATATACCCATTTCATTCATCACTTTAACTTCTCTCTTCGACTTCAGATTCTGTTTGACATTTTTATGATTCCCATTTTTCCCAAACCTTACTGAGCTCCTGAACTTATACTGATGCATAACAGAAGTAGTAAAGTTCCCTAAACTCGATTTAATCCAACCAACAAGTTGTGTTTTCCTCGTCCCCTTGATTGCAAAAGACCCATCAAGCATTCTGAACTCTTCTTGACGTTTAACGGAAGAACCTGGATTTTCATAAACAACAGATTTTGCTTCTACACTTGCTAACCCAGTATCTAACCAAAGATGCAAATTAGCATCAACAAGCCAATAAGGAATGCTATCACTAACACCAACACCAATCATATGATCCTTCCCATCCAAAAGAATCCCTAAAAATGGCGTCAAATCGAAATCATAAGTAGGCAGATCAAATGCACCAATAGCAACTGCAGGTTCCCAAAACAAAGGATTAATCCCACCAGTGAAAATTACTGGAAATGGCACTTCTGAATCCACAAACATTCCGTCAATTGTAACAAAAACCTCCCTAAATGCTCCATTTCCTCGCAAAGTAGTCAAATTATTCATTCTTATGTAAGTATTTGATGGATTAGAGTACCAAAATTCATCGTTTCCATGAAACGACACATACAATTCTAAAATGGCTCTGTGTGTGTTGCTTGGGAATCTCAATTTCTTTAAATGAGCATCTGATTCTCCTTCGATTCTAAACCAATGGCCTTTACTATCATGAAACGAAGAAATAGGAATTATCAAATCAGCTGGCGATTCGTATACACCATTAGCCAACCTTTCTTCTCTAATTAAGCCTTGTTTTTTAGTAAAAAGGCTTATGAAATTGTTACCCATTAACGGAGCCCGAACGGTAGTATCTTTGTAGTAGAAGATTGTAACGTCGATATGGTAAACGCCGGTGTAAACGTCATTAACGATGTTTTCGAGCATGATACTGAAATTAAGGTTTCTCTGTTTCAAGAGATAAGAGTAACGAGTAATATCCTTTCGAACAGACCAGTAGATACCGGACTCGGTAGGCTCAGCCGTACTGGTGCGCAGGAGCTCAGCCCCGCCCAGCCACAATCCGGCGATGCGATCGTACTGGTCGCCGCGGGAATTGGCGCGGAATTCGAGAGCCACGCGGAGCCAAGGGGCAGGGCAACCAGTAGGAGGATCGTATGGGACGGTGTACGGAGGACGATTAACGGTGTTGGCGAACGTGTGGTGGATGATATGGTGAGCATAAGATGGAGTCAAATGGTCAAACGGCAGAGGACGAATGAGTTCGAAGTATTCTTTGTATTTAGGTTTAGAGAAAGTGGTTTTGAGTGTAGGTGATAAATTCTTGAAGTAGTGATCTGGAGATTCAGAGTTAGTGTGTGTAAAAATGGCAGAAAAGAGGAAGAGGAGAAGCAGAGGAGAAGGCTTCTCCATTTCTACTATTGGATTGGATACTGGTTGTTACCTGGTATGTTATGTTACATATATAGTTAGTTAACTAAATGGATAAGAACCATAAATAACCATGAATTTTTCAAAAGAAAAAATGAAAAACAGAAATGTAAAAGTAACATATGGGACCCAAATAATTTGTTTGATATAGTTCAATCTTTATTCCAAACTGCGAATCAAATTAAAAAAAAATGCAGAAAGAAATATAATATGATAAATAAATAGGACATCTAACTGTTAATATCAATATTTAAAAGATAATTCTGCTTAAACATAACAAGAAATTTTAGAATACTAATTCTTTCTACACTAATGAAGATCAATTAGTGGATAATATATGATAATATTAGTAGTAGTTGTAGTATGTAGTAATACTAATTTAGGAACTTGAAATGCAACCATAGCTTAAATCATCTGTAGAGAGGATGCCATTGACAACTGTAACAGCTCTGGAATAGCAGATGAAACCATCTTCATATCTCAATCTCTGTTCAGTACTTGCATCACCAGCAAGACTAGGCTGCTGCTGATCCGGAATTGGTAACCATCCATTAGATATCTGTTTATTGTCAATAAAGCTTGACAGGTTGTTGCAATTAGAACAACTCTCCTTAAAAGCATGAGAAATATTCGTTAGAATTTTTCCCTCTAGAGTTGAAGTGATTATGCTAAGAGGGTAATTTTTTTTTTTAATAACAATGCGATTAAGCAGCTCTTCTCTGTCATTTGGCACTTGCAATTCCTTTTGCACCTCAGTCTTCAGCTTAACAAATTTGTAAGTACCATTCTTTTCAAATTGTATGAAGCTCTGGAACCTGAAATACTGCAGAATAAGGGTGGTTAGATTACCTGAACTAGAGATAACCCATCCCTTTGATTCGCTCTTTCCCTTTCCTTTTAACTGAAATGACCCGTCAAGCTGCTTGAACTCTTCACTGCTTTGCGAAGAGAAAGCGGGATTATGAGCAACAACAGTCCTTGCTATGACATTGGACGAGGTTTATCTAACCAGAGGTGTAAATTTGCATCAACAAGCCAAGGAGAGAATGAGACATTGTAAACAACAGAAGGACATAATTAACATTGCTTTGAAACATCATTATGAGATCAAGGCTTGGTTGCATGAGAAGAGAGGAGTACCTAGTTATATCCTTTCTCACTCCCCACAGATTTCTTGATGTTTTAGTGGTCAGCTTGGGTGCGCTGGTGCGAAGCAGCTCTACACCACCAAGCCATAAGCCAAATATGTGATAGGGCATGTCATTGCTGCATCCAGCATGAAGATTAAGGACGACATAAGTCCATGGAGGGAAGCAATCAGAGGGTGGAGAGTAAACAGCAGAAAAGAGATACTTTGTGGTGTTGGTGAAGCTGGTATTTATCACAGGGAGAAGCATGACGGAGTCAAATGATCTGATGGTAGAGGAGGAACAATTTCAAAGAACTCTTGAGATTCTTGCAAGTCGAAACCAGTTGAGGGAGAGACTAAGGTTAGTGGAGTTATGAAGAGGAAGCAAAGAAGAATGAGAATTGTCTTCATTTTTTGGAGCAAGAAAGTGTGTGTTTGTGTTAAAGTTACAGCTACAGCTATTGATGCAAGTGTTGTTGACAGTGATTGGGCTGGTTCATTGGACGATATGAAGAGTACTACTGGTTTTTGTTTTTCACTTGGTTCTGCTGTCATTTGCTGGGGAACAAGAAAGCAAGCTTCAGTTGCTCAATCAACTGCAGAAGCAGAGTATGTGTTTTTGTTTTTCCTGGTGTGCTGGCTTCATTTGCTGGGAACAGAAAGCAAGCTCTCAGGTATTGGCCTCAGAGCAACTGCAGAGAGCAGAGTTATGGTTCTTGCGAGCATCTGCTGACTGATAAACCAAGCTATATGTGAGACAAAGGTATTAGTTGACTCTGAATTGTTCAGCAGAAAAGCCAACTAAGAATACTTTGGTGACAACGAGGAGATCGAGAGCTGTTTGCTATGGTTAGAATCCAATCGTTCCAATGAAAAAACCAAGCATATATCTAAAAAAACCAAGCATATCAAAATCAAGTATCATGCAATTCGTGAAGCTGAAAAGGAAAATGAAATTCAGATTATTCATTGCAATTCTGAAGACCAAACAGCGGATATTTTCACCAAGGCATTGCAAAAACCAAGATTTGAATTTCTTAGGAATAGACTTGGTGTTTGTCTCAACTCTTGTATCAAGGAGGAGTGTTAAAGTTACAGCTACAGCTATTGATGCAAGTGTTGTTGACAATTTTTGAAGGTATTTTGTTAAAGTCATTTAGATTTTGTTGTATTTTGTTGAAATCAAGAGGTAGGTGGAACCTACCTTGCTTTTAGGCTAGTTTGGTGAACACCTTCCTTGGAACTTAGGAAGGTTGGTGAACAAACTTTAGACTACGCTCTTCACTATAAATGATTTACATTATGCTGTGTAATGGATTAATAAGAAATTTAATGTTGTTCCTGCAATTGTTTCTTCACACTCACAAAATCTGCAGCTTTTTCTTTTTCTGCAGAATTTCCTTCTCTTCCTTAATTTTCTGCTCTTCTAAACCAACAGTTTGCTCTGATATTTTAGGCTCATTCTTCTACTATCCAATATAAAAAAAGTATTCACATATAAACAAGTGCACTAGATGGGTCATGAATTATGCATTCCCTAACAAGCACGCTGCAAAGTCTCTTAAAACAGTTAAAAATTTGTACTGGGAGAGATGTATAGTGTGAAGTAGAAAGTAGAAATAGTTAGGTTCATTTTGTTTATTTACGGTATGATATGGAATACTGCCATTTGAGAAACCCCATTCTGCATGTGGCATTTAGTTGACCATTCAGTATAGAATTTTTACCAGACAATAAATAACGCTAGAAGATACGAAAATCTTTAGTTACCAAAAGTTTATTTTATCCTTTTTGGTAAGAAGAATGAAAGACGATTTTTCCTATAATCAAAAAGATTTTCGAAGGCATTTTTATTTGGAAAATATTTTTTGAATAAGATGCTCTTACTAAAAACGAAAAGATTTCTCCCTTCATTTTAAGGTAAGAGAATGATAACTTGCAAATCCAACTTTTTTTTGTTGTTATATTTGTGTTAATTTGGTGTTATTTTGTGCTTAAAAGAGTGGTTTAACTTGATTTATTGTTTTTATGTTAGGAAAAGTTGGATTTGATACGAATAAAGCAAAAAGGAGCACAATTGAAATGTTTTGGAGCAAGGACGGAGCTGCTGGAATTTTGGAACACAAATACAAGTTGTTAGGCTCTTAGCCTTGGGCAAGACTAAGCAGGAAGGAAATCAGACCAGCAGACTGATTGTGATATTATTGGCTGGTCACGACTTCTTCAACTAATTCCAGCACGTTTTACAGCCACATGATGATATTAGGCATAATTTTTAGTGGGTATTTTTATTGTATTAGTTGGCCCCACTTTCTAGGGGGTATTTAAGTCACAATCGGGCCTTTTGTCGATCATCTTTTGTCTCCCTTGGGTTGTGAGGAAATTTACAGAATTTTTGAGAGATTTCTGCCGAACTTTTAATTCTTTTGATGATGTTTTCTTCCATAGTCATGTTTTCTTCAATAGCCATGTGTGGCTAAGCGTTCTGTTCAGTTAAGGCTAAACCAAGGTAGAAGTTTGATTTCGATTGTGAGATTATATTGAACTTAATTGAATTTCTTTATTCTATTGCATTTATATCCTTTCTGTGATTTATTGAGAAAATATATCCCCTAGTGAAATTCTATTGAATGGTTTAACAGGGCCCGTTATGTTGATTGGTAGAAATTTCCATAGCTATTCGGCGTAATCAAATCCGTAATTGTTTGGTTAGGTTGATGCAGTAGTAATTAATATAACTTAATTGGGTAGAACTTTTTAGGTTGTATTAAAAAGAATATAATCAGATTAAATGGCATGCTCGGTTTCTGTTAATCTGGACAGGTTCTTATTAGATTTTAAAGCGGTTAACGTTAAATCCTTCGTCGTACTTAGGATTGCTAGTTGATGTAGGGGTTGTTATTAGATCGTATCTTAGCACTATTCCTACGGATAGGAATTGGTTGGAGTTTGTACGTTCTTCTGGCGATATATACTGTCTGTAATATGAATTAGGATTTAATCTTGAAATCAATGATCACCTCGAATCAAATTGTTCGAATCCGCGGATGCCTTGGCCTGAATTTTCTATCAATGTCAGGTTTCAATTTTTAATTTTATTGCATTATTTTCTTTGATTTAATTTTAATTCGTTAGTTCGCATTATTAAATTCCCCCGTTTTCCAAATATCTATGCTTAATTTTATTTTTCAGTTTTTGGTCTATTTTCGAACAAAGCAAGCCCTAGGTTCGCATCTTCTCACCATATTACAAGTTTTATTTTGTAGGGGGAGCAGATGTTTTAATTATTTTGGCGGATTCGACGCCGTCAAATTTTGGCGCGTTTGCCGGGACTGTTAACTTTATGTTTGTTGTCTTTTGAATGACCAGTCTGAAAATTTGCCAATATTATTTTGATCCTAGATAGAGAAACAGCCGGCTCCACTAAGGAAGACAAGGCGAAAGAGCGAAAGTGGACCGAATCGATTGGGAACTGAACCGGGAAAGCGTCCAGCACTGGTCACCTTGATTGATAAACAGCTGAAACCAAAGAGAAAGTCTAGCAGCAGGAAGAGATTTCTTCGCCAAAAACTTGACCAAGAGGAAGTTATGGCTGAAAAAACCGCACTGCTTCAGAAGAGCTACAGCTGCCCTGTAGTAGCAAGCAGCCTATGATGTATTACTTAACCCGGACGTTGGAAGTGCCATTTGGTGAGCTTAAATCGGGTTCGGAAATTGCATCAACTTCCGGCTTTTCCATTGGATAAAGACTGAAAACCCGCATAATCACTTGAAGGCAATTCAATTCCATGGAGTTTGTTCTAGCATGAGACTGCATGGGTTAACTGAAGAGCAAATTAAGTTGAGAGCATTCTCGTTCTCACTTAAAGATGCTGCTAAGGAGTGGTTGCTTAAT